CCTAAAGGATTCTATGATTCTAATGTAATAAAATTCCAGTTATTTTCTTCACTACATGCCTCTAGTATGTTTTGATGAAAAGACACAACATTCGGCAGAGTAGCACACATCTCAGAGAAATGCGTTTTACTAATCTGATGAAAATCATCTTATGGCACAGTAACCATGATTTAAATGAATGTAAAACATTTAAAATCATTAGACTAGGGTAGAACCGTTATTCAGAATTGTTATTCTAGTTTATATAAAAATTGAGATAAGTTAAAGTAACTAATTTCAGCCACTTGAGTTTTCTGATCAGAATTTTTCTAAGAGCAATATACCGTAGACAACCTTCTCCCCCTATTTGCAGAATTTAAATATGGTCAGACAGCTTAATTCACTTTTATTTAAAATTATCTTTGGACTATGACAAGGAATGTGTTAAGTAAGACAGTAAATAGGTTGAAAGTTTAACCCCAGTGTTAAAATTTTAAAAGGATTTGCCTAAATCCTATGAAACAAGATAGGCAGCTAAAAAGCATATTTGGCAGTCTCTGAGATGTACGAAGAAGCTTACATTTAAGCAAAAAATGCATGTTTAATCTCTCATCACAAAACATTAACAGAAAAAGGCTGAAAAAATAAAAAATTGGCAAAATGAAAGGAGCAGTGGAAAACTTTAATATTTTAAGTAACAGAAGTTTTGACTTCATATAACTAAATCCTTTATATTGTCTCCATGCTTAAAAGACTATAGAAATAATTTTATCAGTCAAGTTTACTATTAAATATCCTTCAGTAGGATTATGAGGTACCAAACAGCTACTGACATAGACATACACCTAGTTGGTATTTATTTTAGTATGAAGCATTAGTATAGTTTGAATTTTTATCAGAGTTTGCTAGTGCACAGAAAGAAAAATACAGGCAACAAATTCAGTAACAGGAACTGACTGCATTAGTTTCACACTTTCCCACTAGTTTCCTTGGATATTTATCTGTAGGCTGGTTTACATTAATACAGGGCAGTTGAACATTTAAAGAAGATAATATTCTACACAGAATTTAATAAAAAATGAAGCCAAATTGCATGCTCAGTAATCTTTTTGAAATTGTCCAATTACATGGTCATACAATTTTGTTCAATAGCAGTGGCTAGCACAGGATACACAGGAAGTCATTTTTCCACAAATGGGAGCTAGTTTGGAAAACTTGTCAATCCTCCCTCCACAAGTTAACAGCTAAAGTTATGCTGCAAACTTCTATGCAAGTAGGTAACTGCAGACAAAACCAGGGTCTAAAGCATCTTGTTAAAGACTTTTCAAACCTACAAAACAACTCTACATTAATATTATCCCAGTCCCAAGAAAACCAATGGGTCTAGGACATACCTCAACATTGCATGAATCCCACCACTTAAAAGGACATAGCAACATTCATGTAAATGCCTTAAAAAAAACAAAGAACATTTAATGTCTGTAAAACATGCTGTAGAGAAGTTTATATAACTTGCCAAAATATCAGCAAGTCTTTCAGCAGTTGCCTGAGAAATCAGAAGTCTTCAGATTCACCCCCTGAACTATTGCAGAAAGCTTTAGACAAGCCTAAAAATTTTTAATTGATTATTATAGATTTCAAGATGACTTAAAAGAGAAAAAAAAAAAAAAAAACATAAAGAAGTGTTAAAATAAAAATTAATATTGACAAATAGAGTCTTCTTTGTTTGTCCTGCTGACTTATCTCCCCAGAACAATCTTCCTCCACTGATGCAGTATGCCCATCTGTGCTGGCAACAGTGATGGACCTGGGTGGTCATCCCAAAGCTGTCCAACTGCAGGAGCTGCAGCTACACTAGAACCACTTTGTCCCCTCACCTATGTTAATTTAAGACTGAATCAGAGCTGTCAATATGCAACTCGGTGAGGGACCCTGAGCCCCAGGGCACAGAGCACCCTTCCATGGCCATCCTTCCACACAGCCATGGCTTCATCGCCTGTGGTAGGCTGGTGGAGGAGGGTGTTTCAGGACTCAGAGGGGGACCTTCACCACAGCCCACCTGCCAGACCAGATGCTCTGCTGAGATGCCCCTAGGTTAACAGCAGGTAAGCTCATACAATGCATCTTTTAGGAAAATAAAACATATCAAGTTTCTGTTTCCAATTTCCTTCTGCTGCAACAGCAGCCAGAAGGTATCTCCAGAGAGGAACAAATCACCAGAACTATAGCTGGCACACGAGTCACTAAATGATCTAGTATTTGAATTTAGTATGCAGCAATTAAAATAACACACTTTCTATTTAGCTTGTGCTGCTCCATTCAGAATGATTAGCTAGAAACACACAAGAACTTTTAGGTTCAGTAATGCCTATCTGGAAATTAAGACTGAGAGCTTCTTTACCAATACTACAACAGACAATGTAATAGATCATGCTTCCTCTTTTACTCCAGTCTTACAAACTTGTATTTCAGTAATGTGTAATTACAGTTTATATTGTGGGAATGACAGTCATATAGCTCATGCCTTTATGTATTGTCACCGCAATCTCAGTATATTTTCACTGAACTTGTGTTCCAAAGCCAGAGACATATCCTGATTCTAAAGTATGTGGGTAAAAGAGACACATAAAGACATTAATATAATTTTAACCTGTGCAGTAGCAGGTGTAACCTGCGCTTGACACTCATCATTTATAACAGTGTGCTTTTACTCCATGTTATTCTCTAGATGCAACAGTTACCGTGGTAACTGCATCCCAGTATACACATTCTACATCATAAATACAAATGGACATTTATTTCTTTTTCCACTTGAACATTTAATTGTCAAAATCCACATTTTTTTCCAGACTGAATTAAAATTTAGTGTGAGAATGAGCTGAACATAGTTACAAAACTATATGGAAGGGCAGACAGAAAATGCACGAGGTGTGAGGTGCCATTTTTTTTGTTCTACTGTATGCATGACAAATATTTTACAATTAGGGAATTTTATCTGCAGTATGAACAGATGATCAGTCATTGTTCAGAAGCACAAAGGGGAATACGTCATACTCATATATTTTCCATTTTTAACCCACATTCCTGTTTTACTGCAATTTTATCTTTTATCTCAGCTAGCAGTTGTGCCTTTTTATTATTGCTCACTCTCATAATGCATCAGGTGTATGATCCTCAGACTAATTCCAAGGAAAAAAAGTCTGAGACTGGCTTTATACATAATGGAGTTTTCAGTAAATAAGCCCCTGTGGGACAAACTATTACACAGTGCATGAGAATTACCATGCAGTTCTCATTAGGAGTAACACGTTGCACACCTAAATTACTCAATTTCCTAAGTTACTTATATAGGTAAAGCTGTGAACACACTTCACTTGCCATATCTGGGACAATTTTTGTATGAGCAGTAGTACCTCACAATTTTCTTCAGTATTTTAATCTATAGTTAGACTACTATTTTTTTTTCAACTATACATACTTTCACAGTAAAATTTACATGAACAGAAGCTTAAAAAATGTATTATTTACAAAAGTGACTATTATTACTAATTATGAGTACTACAATACATACAAAACCTTTGTTAAGCAGCAGTAAATCTGAAGGTTTCTAACAACAAATGCTAACATTTTAGGATACTATAAAAATATTAATGATAATAAAATTTCCTGAAATGTTATTTCTGTTGGAGTGTTAAAGTGAACTGTAGAATTTTATTTTGTTACAACTCTTGATACTAATATCACTTCAACTTGAAAAATTGGGAGCAAAGCCATTCAGACCTATTCATCCTCTCCGCAGTTTTCATATCAATCATTTTGCTAGCACTGAGCTTTTTAAATAGATTTCTAAAGATTTTTGAAGAAAAATGGCAGGTATTTAGCATTATCTATCAAGCTATAATTCCTCTCTATTAATCATGGAATTGGGGCTAAAAGGAGACGCAAATCAAGTTTTAACAGGTATTACTTGCATTTGGTTCCTAAACAGTAATATTTCACCATTGTATTTATCATCTACTCGACAACTGTTTAATCTTTTTTCTTCTTCTTTTTGTGTTTTTGTTTGGTTTTGTTGTTGTTGTTTTGGGTTTTGGCTTTTTGTTTGTTGTTTTAAGGAAAAAATGTCTTCTGCTTTGTAACCAATATTTTTTATGTACAAGGAATAAAGGCATTAGAAGACAAGCCAATAAAGCTGTCCCTTGACTGATAAAATGCAACTGTTGAATATACACATAGAAGAAAAACAGTTCAGTGTCTCTAGCCTCATTCTGTAAATGAGAATTTTGTTCTAAACTGTACTTTGGAACTGGCTTTGTAAAGGTGTCTGGAATTTCACTGTATGTTTGTAAATATGATCAGCCAAATGATTTCAGATACAGAAGAGGAACGTGCTCATTAGTTAAGGACTGTATAGAAATGTCCAGTCTCAACACATGTATATGTCTTTTCTTACACAGCCACAATTTCCTCACTGTTACAGAGACCAAAATCACAGCTTTTACCCAAAGATACCACCAACGGATCAGATGAGTTGCCAGCTAAGACCACGAGTTTGGTACAAATTCTCCATGATCTCGAAGGAAGTTAAGAAATCATCAGTAGCTTCTCTTTGCTCAGATGGAAAATGGAACATTGCAACTACTGAAACCTACAAATAATGCACGTGCATCTCCACAGAAACCCTTGAGAAGTCTTCCTAATGTCAAGTGGTAAGTAACAATATTTGCTTCAGTAGCCAAAATATATACATACCTTTATGAACTAATAAATTTACAGATACACACATGCGTGTGCATCTGTATCTGTCTAAATAGATGCACACAGATATATTTCACATCAACCTGAAACTACTTATTTACTTACTTTTGGTAAAACAGGGCAGTAAAAAGTCTAAATCAAACTTTTCCTTTACCCCAGAAAGCCTGTATAAATGCACACTAATCTTGTGATAGGATCTACCCTATGCCCAGAACAGTTACACGTCTCTTCAACATGCAGTTACAGATGCAGGTGCACTAGCTCTTTTTCCATATGCAGTCTACTTCAGTAACACCCAAAGTTTCACCAGGCTTAGATAAATCTTTCATCGTAAAACAAATTGTCTCAACCAGTAGTGCTAAAAAGTCATCTTGTTCATAAATATGTTCCTTATGCTCCTATAAAGTATTGCATTATGAAAACATTTCTAAGGTTCTGAATGTGCTGTAAGAAAAAGGATAATTATTCTAACTTCCCACGCCTTTATTTTATTAGTACCAACTCTTTTAAAAACAAATCATTAACAAAGGCAACCACTTAGACGATACGTACTGGCACATACAAAGAATTTAAGAAATTTGCAAGTCCTACCTACCTCAGTAGCAAACTGTTGCAATCCACCAATATTAATTGGTCCCTCCTCAGTGGCAAACAAATTGCAGCCACCAACACAGAGATCTGATGTTGGACACACCATCCCGCACGTCAGGCCAAGTGGATTGTCAGAAAGGATCATTTTGGCAGCTCCATAATAGTTCTGAAGGAAAAAGAAAGAAAAAAAATCATCACAAAACACAAAGACCAATAGTCATATACCAAGGAAGCAAAAGTTAAAAAATTCAAGAGAAAATACAAAATACTTTTTCTTTAACTGGCTGCTAGACTAATACATAAATCATTAATTATTTAATTTATTATACATAAAATACATATTAAATAACACTGACATTATTTCAGCATTCCAGCATGTTATACAGCATTATGTCAAAGATACTGAAAAGAAGGTCAGCAAAACTGTCGATTATGCAAAGATAAAACTTTTCTTCTTAGCTTGCAAAATAGTTGCATCTTCAGACCAAGGCAGCTGTAGGATTTTTAGTGGCTCAACAAATCTATGTACCTGTAAACATACAAACTATTTCTAGGTCAATTGGGTAGCTGAGTTGTAACCCTTGTTCAAGGTCTGACCTAAAAGTGCCATTTAGATTATTGGTTCTTTATGACACAGGGAATAAAAAGCTTATTTTACACATCTGTGCACAGCACCTCTGTGGATATGCCTGTCCAGAGACAGAGAGTAGTGCCACCAGATAGTAGTGCCAATTGCCCGAGTCCCATGATGAGGGGAGGAGGAGGTTTCCCATGTAGATAATATACTACTGAATTCTTTTTTGAACTCTTTCCTCAACCCCATACTGATCAGGGCAAACACTTATCTGTCTGTTTCCCTAAATAGCAAACCAGGGAACTGATTAAAGAAGTTATGTACAATTCACACCATCACAGATTCTCAGTATTCAGTGCACATCATCAGAAAATGAAGTTTCCTGGTACATGAGAGCTTGCAAAATTTCTTTCCATAATAAAAATCTAAGGAATGTCCATTAGCAAACTCTCAGTGCCTGGTGGTTGTTTCAGACTGGATAGTGCCCTTAACAGTGAGCATCAGAGGAAATTCCAGGAGTGAACTGAAGTCTCATTTAGAAGGGCAGAACTACTGAGGGCAGTTCTGCATTTGCATTATATTTACATTAACGAAATTATAGTGCAATTAAGCTGCTTACATTCTATCTTTTCTTCTGTCGACTAAATTTAGAAGTTTACTTAATTCTAGTTCTTTCTTCATTTTACTGCTCCTCCCACCCACTCTTAAGACCTCATACCAAGTAAAGCTCATGAAGATGGGTTAGGTGCTACAGTTTTCTTTAACGGTCAAAACACAACACAGTACCACTTAGACGTAGCACAGAGATGAGGTTCCCCAAAAGTTTCATCAGTGAGAAATGAATACTGGGATCTCATCCCAGCTTTCTTCAAACTAACCATACCTGAAAGATTAAAAAATCAATATGTCTCTTTCCTCTTCCACCACCTCCTCCATATCCCAATCTTCAATAATTATAACTATCATGAAACTGTTTTCTATAACAAACACCTTTACACCCCTGTCCAGCTGACCCAGAACCACCAGAAGATGCTGGGTTCAAATGATGTGAAATACTTCGTCTCAGAAGACTCTATGCAATGCCTGTGACCTACTGCCTGTCAGGTAGGCTCATCTACCCAGAAGTGTTTATTCAAAGTGAACCCTATGCCACACAGAGCAAAAATCCATTTCTGAATAAAAAGAGCGGTGTCAAGATCTGACAATATAACCAAAAATGGGTAATACGACTTTGGTGTGGGAAGTTTCAGTTCACTAAAGACATATTAAATTACTGAGCATAAAATTCTTGAGGTTAAACCAGCCGCTATAGACACAGCTAGCTATTCCCAAGAGAATGTCAATGTTTCAGAAATGTATTTGTAGATGTAACTGGACCTTTTGCTTACAGACACTGGTCTTCTGCACAGCATGAGCTCCTGTCCATCATGTGGAAATACAAAACAGCTGCCTAGGTGCACTTTCATAGGATTTTCTTATACTCTATTAAAATACATTGAAATTCCAATCCTGGCTGAACAGGCAATCTCTTTACACAACTGTTCTGGGAGAACTTTTAACCATTTTCCCTGTGGTGACTGGTAAGGTATCTTACCATTCCCAGTTCTCACTTATTTCAATGCAAAGGAGTATTAGTTAAACAGAAATTGTATCTGTTAGCCAATATTTTTGCTCTTTCAGGTGAATTAAACTGTTTTGATTCACCAGAGATTGTTCAAGCTGCTCCAAGCAGCTAGTAAAGGCGCTGTAAGCTCAACTCAGAAGCAAAACACACAAGTCCAGTAATACTGGAGATGTCCCTGACACATAACCATGCAGACACCAGAGGTGACACAGGCAATGCAGAAGACCCACACCTTTCTGAAGCAACACTCAGACCAGTACAGATACCCTACAGAGATTTAAGAGGTACTAGATTCCTGTTCCTCAGGCAATTACATCTAGACATTCCTTTTTTCCACTCTAAAGGAATAATTACAAAGTAGGGGATTTTTCTCACTAAATCAAAGACAAAACTCTTTTCAAAGAATTGTTGTTCAGTTTGATATTTCACTGCATATGAGAGTTGTTTTCCCTTCCTGTGTTGTCCAGGATTATTATTTTTATTATCTTCAACTCTGGTTTAATGGAAACAATTACAACATGCATTCCCCTTTAAGTAAGCTCATTAAGAATTTTCTAAATTTGGGCTTTGTAATTAAAATCTATATATGAATCTAGTTATTTATGCCTAGAACAGAAAGCTGTTAAATATTCCCTTTTAAAATGAATGTTATTACATATCTGTAAAGTATATTCTCACACGTGAGCTGTGCCACTACAGGCAGCTGGCACATTTTACTTGTTTTGCAAGCTCAAACCAACTTTGAGCACAGCTATGCTAAAGAAAGACAGGGTATGTTAAAGTAGAAAGGAATTCAGAGAGATGGGACCAGGGTCATTATGGGTATAGGACTGAGATCATAGCTTATTTTACACAGGGGATATCTAGGGAGACCTGTCTCAGAACATCATGCCAGAGTTTGGTAGGGGGGAGGCTAGGACTCAAGTCCTGAAGCAGGTGAAGTCAACTGCTGCCGAATTCTTCATTTTGGGGAAACATGGTGAAGTATATGAAGGTGTGGTCTTGACTTGGGATGTTTTGAAATGTTGCTGTCATGATCATGAGTTGCTGCTGCTACCACTTGTAGTGGCACCACTGCTACATCTGAGAAAAGAGGAACCATGTCCTCTTCAAATGAGAATACCAGAAGTTATACAGTACATGTTACCATGCTAAATATTAGGACATTAGATGAAGTGTATCATAGTATATCTCTTTTCTAGTCTTAACATCTGAAATAAGTTTTCATGATAAATTAAAAGACAGTCACACCTGAAGTTCAAAGTGTGGCATTTATATTTGGGAGCAGCAGATCAGGTCTTCTGTTCTACTTCACTAGTGTGCTCCAACTGTGCTAAACTTGACACCTCTAAAGATGAAAGAGAAGTGCAGGTTCCATGTTGACTTGATTTCCCTGTCTGCCAAGAAAAAGTCACCTTGTGTCAATTTAACCATTGGTAAACTTCTAAGGTACTCTCAGAACACCTGCAGCTCCCTGCCTCTCCTCTTCCACCTTCCAGAACACCAGTGTAACTACAGTACCTATTGCCACTGACACTGCCCACTACCAGTGACAGGACACAGCCTGTGTACGTGCTGCCACCATGACTCTGTGTAATGGCTCAAGAGCAAGTTCATCTGCAACCCTAATGACACAGAGGGCATCCATCGGCCAGCATGGAGACTGGGCTGAGCGCAGGACTTCAGGAGCCTATCTCTGAGTTGCTTCTTCTCTGTCCTTCCATCTTATTTAATCATTTATCCTGCCTTTACCATGTTGATCTACCATCTAAAGGATCAAACATGATTAGAAAAATGTTTTCCAGTACTTGACAAAAACTGACAGGGAAATACAGTACAGTCTAATAAGTTACACCAAGCAGTGTTACACAAACTGTGCTACAAAACTGCAGTCATGTTACTACAATAATAAATGAGTAATGTTTAGTCCAATTAACACTTTGTGCTTACATAATTTTTAAGCCGAAATACGTATTAGTGGTCATTATTTACTAGTTGAATTAAAGGTAGAATATTCATAGAAAATTCACATTTTATATAAAAAAAAAATATCAATCACTCTTATTTCACAAACCCAGAGTGTAGTAGGCTGCACACAAAATAGACAAGAGATGCAGACCTGGCAAGCTGGTAACTACATACCACATGTTTTACCTGAGACAGGATCAGAACTAAAGAGAGGCTGGCTTCATTAAAATGACAAAGTTACTCCAGGGCATAAAATGATGCAGGCTACCTTAGCAGCTTGTAGTAATTTTTTTAGATGCTGAAATAATAAGATGACTCAGTTGGCTAGTTTCTTACAGACGTCACAGAGGAAGCAAGTCTAAAACTAGAATGTTTCTGAATTTTTTAATGAGATAAATGTCTGCTCCTGCTTTTGTTCATAGAATCTTTTTTCCTGTGCACTTCCATAGAAATAAATTAATCTAACTGGATAGGATGTTTTGTGGTTTCCTACACCAAAATGTCAATACATACTACATTGCTAACACGGGGAACAAAAACAAGCCTTAAACAGACATCAATAATCAGTGGAAACCAGGCAGAGAGGATCTCCACATGTATCATTTGGAAGCATTATATAATTTGCATGCAAATGAGACTGTTTTTTACTTGAAAAAAAGCCTATTAAAACACACAGGATCAATACTGAGAGACCAGAAGAAATTGCATTTACTATCAGGAAACGCTTATAGCGTCTTTTCTTTTAAATCAATTCAAGAGCTTCTTATATAAATTCATTATGCATCAGGGTGTTTTGATATTGCATTTTTCTAAAAAACAATGAAAACATGCATTATCGTTCTTTGTGCAATAAAAATGAATACACTAACTTCATCAGGATTTTGGGACACAGCAAATACTTCAGAAGAAAAGAAGAAAAAAGTGGTTAAATTCCTTTTCATCTGGGTTTGGTTTAAAAAAAGAGACATAGCAGAAAATACACGAAAATATCAACTCCTAT